ATCAGGGGGGTGCCAGGATCACGGCTGATGGCCGTCTGCACGCTTTGCGAGGTCTGCTGGCCGCCGGGGGTGCCCGCGAGGGCGCAAGGACCCGGGCACGGGGAGGCAAGGGTGCCTCGTTCGCCAACGGACACAGGGCTGCAAAGGTGCAAGGGAACCTCTTTCGGACAGCCGGAGTCGCGAGGATGGCTCGGGCACTGGGATGCATGAGCGCCTTGAGCTCTCGCGGATCCCCTGTCGCCATGGTTACGGCTGATGGCCGTCGACTCTGGTTGCCCCAGATGGATGCCAGGGTCACGGCCGATGGCCGTCTGAACGCACTGCATCGTTACAACCGTTCCGTTCCCTTCTGGCCTGACGGGCCCTGCGTCTTCTTGCCCGGTCTGCTGGCCGCCAGGGGTGCCCGGAAGGGCGTCAGGGAGCAAGGGTGCCTTCTTCTGACAGTCAGAGTTGTGAGGATCACGGCTGATGGCCGTCTGGTCGCTTTGCATCAGGGGGATGCCAAGATCACGGATGATGGCCGTCAGCACGCTTCGAGAGGTCTGCTGGCCGGGAGGAGCGCCCGCGCGGGCGTCGGGGCCCGGACACGGGGATGCAAGGGTACCTCGTTCGCCAGCGGACACAGGGCTGCAAGGGTGCAAGGGTACCTCTTTCTGTCTGCTGGCAGGAGGTTTTTCGGGTACATCTTCCTGTCTGTTACCAGGGGAATGCTGCTGCTGCTGCTGCCGCTGCTCCTGCTGCTGCCGCTGCCGCTGCTGCTCGTACGAGTGGGGGGCAGCGCGGTGTTTTTGCCGTCGCTGCACCTGGCGGCCCGCCGCGGCGGCCGCGGCGGCTGCCGCCACGCCAGCCGCGGCGGCGGCGGCAGGCGACAGCGTTGCGGCGCGCGCCACGGCGGCGGCGGTCGCGGCGGGGCAGCCACGGCCGGCCGCGGCGACGGCCTCGGCAACGGCGGAGGCCGCGGCCGCCGCGGCGGCGCGGCCGAGGCCGTCATAGGCGTGACCACCCGCACCGAGAGCCAAGGTATGGGTGGTTGGCTGCTGCTGCTGCTGCTGTTGCTGCTGCTGCTGCTGCTGCTGCTGCTGCTGCTGCTGCTGCTGCTGCGGCTGCTGGTGATGTTGCCGCCGCTGCTGCTGCCGCTGCTGCTGCTGCTCCCCGGGTCGGGCCTCAGGAGCGGCGGCGTGCGCCGGAGCAGCCGCGGCCCGGCGAAGCTTGGCCGCTGTCCGCTGCCGGCGGCGGCGGGCCGAGACCGTCTCCTGCCAGGGCGTTGGCTGCCAGTCGCTGTGCTGCCACGACTTTCGTCTGTACTGCCGTCGCGGCCACGCCTCCTCGCCAGCGGCCTCAAGGGCCTGCGGCGATGGCCCGCGGCGCAAACTCGCCTGCGCAGCAGCCCACCACGGACCAAGGCTGTGTGGCTGCCCGCGCTGCGCCAGCCTGGCAGCCTAGTCGCCGCGCCAGGAGCGAGCCATCGCGACAGAGGGCGTGGGCAGAGAAAAGCGGAGCAGAAGCGAGAAAAGGAAAGGGGAGGATGGCCTCCTGGCGGCAAGCGGCTTGACCCAGAGCGGCTTGAGCCAAAGCTGCGGACGCTGGTGGGGATACGCGCAGCGTCTCGAATTTTTCGAGACGTGCGTTTTAGCGTCTTTTCGGGGCCCCGGGACCCTGACAGATCGATCCCGCTCGAAAAATGACACAGAATTATGGGGTCCAGGGCTCCGGGCGCGGATTTTCACGATGGAGTGAGCATCGCCCAATCGACGCCTATCCCCACTGGTGTGGCCTGGGCCCCATCGGCCGATTGTGCCCCCTCTGGCGGGGATGCGGGCCGTCCCCGTCGGATTCCGAGGGGTGTATCCCCACTGGGGAGACTGAGATGGCGAGGGTCTAGATGGGGACGGGCATCGGGGTAGGGGTCGGTGAAACGATACCTGGAGTGCTCGTACCGCGCAATGGCAAAACAGGGGCAGGAGTGCGGCAGGCGCCGAAGCGAAAGCGCCCTCCGAGACGACCGAAGGCGATCCGAGCGGAGAGGCATGAAGTTCCTCACGTTGATGGTGATCGTAAACCTCGCGCGAAGCCCTCGGTCTGCTGGGGCAGTTGCCTCCAGACTCGAGCATGGCGCTCTCTTCAACAGAGTAACTTTGAAACCGACCGTCCCCACGACCTTGGCCGCAACGGGCTGCTCCAGCTTGATGCCTGGCGCGCCCAGGCGTGAGGCCTCTGCCCGAGCTGGGCGGCGAAGCTGCAAAGCAGGAGGGCCGACCGTTCCCGCCAGCTCCGGGACGGGCAACACAGCAGGCGCTGTCGACGCGGCCGCCCCTGCGACGCAGTGTAACATTCTAGGCCTCGTCGTCGAACCGCGCCCGGCCCACAACTGGGCGCAACATGCGCCGCCGCACCACGCCCAACCGCTCGCTGTGGCGCGCATTCCATGCGAACGTCGACGAACCAAACAGCACCGTAGATGGAACAGTTGCCTCGGAAAATTCGCTGCGGCGATGGGTAGAGACCCGGCCGTCTGTTAAGCAAAATGCACCGTCGCGCGCGGAACTTGCCCGAGACGGCCTGGAACTGGTCTAACAATTCAGCGTCAGCGCGCTGCCGCAAAGTCCACATAGGCGACGATGGCAACTTTGACTGCCGACATCGCGCGGTCGCAGGAGGTGGGCACGGCGCAAGCGTCGCACCTGCTGGGCGCAACGGCCCACGCCGAGGAGGGGCCCCGAAGCTCCTAACTTGGAGCAGTAGTGATCCGAGTGCGAGCTGTGGCCCATGCGTCCGACGGACTGTCACACGGCATGTGGCTGTCCTCCGCGACGGCGTGTCTAGGGCCTGAGGTAGGGCATCTCGACGTGGAACTCGGGCCTCCTCGCGCTGCTTGGCGCACGAGCTGTTGGGGTCCGCTGGCTTCGATGGGCGCGACATCCTCGGCGAGTCAGGGGCGGCAACGGGAGCACCGTGCGCCGCCAGGCGGCACGCCAAGAAAGAGTGCGGCCGCACAGAGCCACGCGGGTCTTCCAGGGGACCTGGGTGAAGATGCATTGCTTGACCTTCTCAGAGAAGCCTCGCTGGACGACGAGGTGGTCGATGACGCTTCCACTGCCGGCAGTGCAAGTGGCCGCACCCTGGTCAACCATGACAATGTCGCCGACAACGACAGCGCGAGAGGCGCTTTTGCCCAAGTCCTCTTTCGACAAACTCCAGCCGGTCACAATGATCCGCGGGTCTGCAGCGACAAGTCAAACTGAGTGAGAGACTTAAGCCTTTCCGCACTGAGCCCACCTAGCGCATGCCCTGGAAACAAATACGCAGAAAAGATAACGCCACTATCCCTTGTGAGGTGTAGCGTGGTGGGGCAGATGACTCGAACGCGTTGGGACGACCCCTGCGAGGAGCCCAACGAGAGGTTGAAGCAGTATGCCTTTCGGAACTAACACACTCGCCTCCACGCGAGGACCCGAGAGCTGCGGCACCCACCATCTCCCAACGATTATCTAAAACTATTATCCCAGTGCGACCCTACCTAGGAGTTGGAGCCCCTAGGAAAGCAGCATTAGTAATAACAGTAAAGCTAAGCTAAAACGAAGCAAAGCTAAGCTAAAGCTAAGCTAATGCTACGCTAAAGCTAAGCTAAAGCTAAGCCAAAGCTATGCTATGTTATGCTATGCTATGCTGAGCTATGGTATGCTATGCTATGCTATGCTTGGCTATGCTATGCTATGCTATGCCGTGCTAGTGCTGCGCTGCGCAATGCTGCGCTGCGCTAAGTTAAGCTAAGGTAAGCTAAGCTATGCTAAGCTAAGCTAAGCTAAGATGGGATAAGGTAAGCTAAGCTAAGCTAGGCTAGGCTAGGCTAGGCTAGCCAAAGCTAAGCTAAGCTAAGCTAAGCTAAGCTAAACTAAGATGAGATGAGATAAGCTAAGCTAAGCTAAGCTAAGCTAAGCTAGGCAAAGCTAAGCTAAGCTAAGCTAGGCTAAGTTAAGCTAAGCTAAGATGCTATAAGTTAAGCTCAGCTAAACTTAGCTTAGCTTAGCTTAGTTAAGCTAAGCTGGGTGAACCCAGAGGGCGCAACTGGGGGAACCGCGGGGCGGATCCTGGGGGAACCGCGGGGCGGATGCTGGGGGAACCGCCCCGGGCGCATTACACTGTCCGGCCCTTTAAGCATACCGAGCAAAAACCCTTCTAGGCAGAGCCTAGGTAGGGAAAAAGGTCTTGCTGGGCCTTACCAAGGCCTGACTGCATGACGTGGGTCTCTGCGACGGCGACCGTGGCGAGCTGCTGGGCGGCCACGTGCATGAAGTCGCTGGCCTTCGGGCCCCACTCCACGATGCTGGCACGGGACAACCTGGGGCTCCTTGGGAATGGGTTCGGGAGGCCCTGCTGCGGCGACCTCCCTAGTGGAACCTTGATGAAGCGAAGAGTCTCGAGCCCATTCCCTCTCCTCATTTCCGCTTGGAGGAAGAGGAGGAGGAGGAGAAGAAGGAGGAGGAAGAGGAGGAGGAGAGAGGAGGAGGAGGAGGAGGAGGAGGAGGAGGAGGAGATGGAGGAGGAGATGGAGGAGGAGGAGAGAGGGCGACCTGAGATCCTGATCTGATGCCGCCCGCTCCTGGCACAGGCAAGCGACGGCGTGAGGTCCCCACCGTTCGCCCGTCCCGGCAAAGGCTGTGGCGACGACGCCTCGAGCTCCACGTCGATGCCGCCAGTGATGAGCTCAGGCTCGTCGGTGGGAGCCAGGATACCAGTCGAGGTCGTCAATGGCCTCCAAGGGGTCAAGGTCACAAGTCCACGGCTTGGTCGTAAGCAGCGGCTTCGCGATCTGCCCATAGCCCTTAAGCTCTGGTGGCTCCCGCAAGATGTACTCCCCCAAGCGTTGCACGGCCCCGATGGCATATCGTGCACTGGAAGATTCAGAGCATTTGGTAGCGTCAATGCGGCGGCGACGACGACGACGGCGACGACGACAACGGCGACGACGACGGCGACGACGACGAGGACGACGAGGACTCCGTGTCGGGCTTGTCTTTGTGGCCTGGGGCCATCTCGCCGTTGCAGTAGCCCAGCACGGTCGAGCACCAGGGCTCGTTGAACGTGATCCAGTTCTTCACGCGGTCTCCTCGCGCGCTTCCGCGGTGGAGGTACCCCCCGGGCCCGGGCATCACGGAAAGGTGACTAATGTTTACCGTTTCCCGTCCCTCCCCCATCCTCCTCTGCCTCCTCGACCTCATCCTCATCCTCCTCCTCCTCCTCCTCCTCCTCCTCCTCCTCCTCCTCCTCCTCCTCCTCCTCCTCCTCCTCATTCTCCTCCTGCTCCTCCTCCTCCTCCTCCGCCTCCACCACCTCCTCGTCATCCTCCTCCTGCTCCTCCTCCTCCTCCTGTGGCCGTTCCGCCCCGCCCCGCCGACCATGCTATTTACATGCATGTATACCAGAACCACGCGCGCTTCGCGCGCGCGCTTGGGTTCTAGCGCGCCCGAGGCCTCAAGAGAGGCCAGGGGGCGGCTCAACAAAAACACGATGGGGCTCCGAAAAGGCTCCGAAGCAAAGGCCCGAGACGAACCCAAGAGGTGCCCCGAGAAGCCCCCCGAGGAAAGCCGAATGGGGGTGACGAAGCGCTCGAAGCGAGCGCGTGGTTCTAGCACGCATCTGCCCGCGGCAACAAAACAGCTGCACATGTGCACGAATCGAAGGTGTGGACTGAGCATAGGTTGCGACGACAGTGACAAGGACACCCTCGGGGTGCTAGGGGGGGGAGCCTCACCACGGCCCCCTCCCTCTTTTCTACCCCTCCTGTTCCTCACCTTCCCTCCTCACTCCTCCCTCCTCTCCATCCCTCATTCCTCCGGCCCCCATCCTGGCCCATCCATCGCCTTCACCAAGCTATCTCTCGTTATCCTCCTTCTCCCCTCCTCCCATTTCCACGCATCCTCATCCATCCTCCCCCTGCCTTCCAATCCGCTACTCCAACATACCCTCTCCTCCCTCATGCCTGCGGCCTCGGATTGTACTGGACGGTCACACGGCACTCTTAGCGATCATTGTGCGCTCTCGTGGCTCTTTCGGCCTCCCTGGGGCCGCTTTTTGGGCGCATTGGGGCGCACCCGGGGGCCAGCTAGGACTCTATTGGGCCGATTTGGAATCTCGTAAAACTGATGGACACTTAACTATACACACTACCGTCAGCACCAGAAGTTTGTCTTCGTCGTTGGTTTTGAGAACAAGGCGGGGGAGGAGGACGATTCAGAGGCTGCAGCACGCGTTCGAAGACAGGGACAGGTGCGAAATCATGTAGCCCGAGATAGCGAGATCAAGAACACATCCAAAACGCAGTACTAACAATGTTGCGTCCCTGTGGAAGCCGTTCGGTACTTCTTGGACTCTCTTGAGGACTTCCTGGGGACAGTTCGGGCTTATTCGAAGCCCTTCGGTCCTTCCAAATACGCACGTGCCCGATATGATGGCTTCAGAGACTGTTTTGGAGGGGTCTCCGAAATGTCTGCAGGCACCCTGGAGCCGTCTCAGAGGTCCCTTGGCCCGTCTTGGGGTTCTTTTGAGGCCTTCTTGGGGAGCTCTTGTGGCCGTCCTGGCGTTCTCTCACATTTCCTTTAAGATCTCGTGGGTCATTCTGAGGTCAAGGTGTGCCCTCAGTGACACATCGGAGGCGAAAAGGCGAGAGGGCGCAAACTATGGACTTCCCACAGGTTGAAGATTTAGGACTGTCGGGGGCCTCCCTGTGAAGCACCGTAGAGCCGTCTTTGAACGGTTTGGGGGCCCCTTGGAAGCATCTTCGCGGCTATTGCGAACCACCCCGGTCCCTCGGGTGCCATCCTGGAGACCATCTTGGGCCATCTCAGGCCCATCCTGGTCCAGCCACGGGGCCAACTGGAGTCCTTTTTGCCCTGTCCCTGGAGCCTTCGGGAGGGGAAGCTGGAGGTGTTAGAACATGCACCAGGCATGGTTGCGAGGTGCGCCGACCCCCGCCTTCGCCGCACGCGTCGGTCTGAAACCAACCCCCCTTTGCTCTCCGGCATTCCTTTCGACCTCCCGTCGGCCCAGGAGGCTCCCTGAAACGGCTTCCGAAGCAGCCAATATGACACCGAAACGGCCCAAAACGGCCGACGAAGGCATAAGAGACTCTCGAACGGCCTCCAAACAGCTCAAGAGGCCTAGAAATCAAAATCCAATTTCCCGTCGGGCATACATCACGACCAAGGTGTGGGGAATTGAATGGCGCACATAGAAATATATAGGATACGAGGTTATTTCCAGAAGTCATAGGGTGCGTAAGTCGGCATATGGGAAGCACGCGTTTTCCAGCATCCGAGTCCAATTGTTGCGGAATGGCATCCTGCAAACCGATCCAGAAACCCCAGCTTGGCCCCCGTAAAATCGGGAAGGGAGAGAAAGAGAGGCGCGTATCTCCCGTAGTAAACACGCACAATACTCAAACAAACAAGGCGACAGGCAACGAGCAAGGAAGACCAGCGTGTTCAGCTCAAGAGACAAGGCCACCTGTAGGAAGGTGTAGATATAACTAAACATACAGATATAACTAAATATACACATATATATATACATACATATACATATACATATACATATAAATATACATATGAATATACACAAACACATATACAAACATACGAGGACCATAGAAATACAATTACACATACATATGCGAATACGATTACAAATACAAATGCAAATGTAAATACAAAAACACATACAACAAACTATAAATATACAAATACATATACATATACAAATGCATAAACATAAACATATACATGTACATATACACATACGAACGCGACTCCTGAATCATATACATTTACATATACATATTCATGGACATATACATGCACACATACATAAGGATCTACATACACACATACAGATACATGCACATGTACAAGTACATATCCATATACATATACATATATACACGCATATACATATACATGAACATCTACATATACATACGCATACACATTTACGTATACCTATACCTGTACGTAAACATGTACAAATACATAAACATATACATATACATATACCTGTACACATGTGCAGATATATATATATATATACAAACCGACAATGATAATATCAAAAAATATTCAACGCAGCTTCTGGTCTGAAGTAACGGAGGCGCGCTCACGAGCGCTGGCGCTGTCCTCTATCTCCGGCGAGCTGCCACGTTTGTTATAGCTTCTCTTCGTGTGATAATGACAGAACAATGCGAGCGCACATGCGGCAGGAAAAAACAAGTGAGGGGCATGCTAGAAAAGAAAATGGCACAGCTCTCCTTCGCGCACGACATAGCGAGGAGCGCTATCAATTGATAAAAGCACTGTTCCCCCCACACAGTGTCAACACAATGTATGAAATTCCAAGTTACACGATGAAATCACCGCCGCCCCTGTCGACGCTGTCAGACCGTCGCGCCGGCGACATGCACCGATGAAATACCGCGGAATGGGACAACACACGCATACCTGAAGCTGGAATATGTGTTTGCCCACCTTTACTTCCAAGAACAATCTGTCGATGGTACCTTGACTGCGTCCGCATGCAGCCATGTCATGCGCGTGACACAACTGCGCAGTACGCATGACACATACATCCATCATGTCACTCATCCAAATGAAATGTCACAGTCGTGCATTTGCAGAAGATGTCCTTGGTTCCTCACTAGAGAAGGACTTGCGGACCGACTCCGCGCCGATAGCCAGTAATACCTTCATGAGTGGCCCACCTAGTTCTCGGATGCCACTGAGGGCCCGTGGAACCAGCGGACCAGACCTTAGTTCACGCAGTGTGATCGGGAGTCGGGTATCATTCGTCCAAACTGCGCAACGCTACAAGAGGCTCGGCTGCGCAACTTGATCCAATGTAGCCGATGAGATTTTCAGAGACGATCTACCAGATGCACGCCCCGCTCACACGCGGGCGACATACCCCGCTCGATGAGATTGGCACCACGCATGCCGTATTCCATATAGTCATGTTCTCCGTCGCTGGAAAATTTCCCGCATCCCGAATCGCGGCGCACGTCTACTCCCCCGAAGGTTTCATCGAAGGGTGAACGACGCAATTGGGAATCCGAACTCCTACGCAAGCGGGCTCTTGTACCCTTCGCGAGGACGCAACACTTGCAGTTGGCCAAACTTGCGCAAGGGGCAGATATGCAGGGGCCCCTCGCAAACTGACGAACATGCACGCCCCCTTTCTACCTTTCTAGATGCCTCGTCGCCGGGCCCCGCGCCGGCCAAATCAGAGCGCGCGATCGAGCACCACGCACCCGGGCGTTGCTTCGGCAAACCTCGCGGCGCAATATGCGCGAGTAGCACGTTAACTTGCAGATTCCAGTCTCTTGCTCAACTCGTTCAACGCAATCGTCAGCACGTTGATCCAAAACCGCCACGTGGACGCGGCGCGCGCGCCTGGCCGTCAAGAGCTCGCCGCGGACCTCAAACCCCTGATCGAAAGGCGCGGGCCGCAGTCCAGCATTGCGCACCCCCTTCCGCCGCCCCCGGGGGAAACGCGCGGGGCGCCCGCTGCGACGCCGCCGGGCTCCAAGAACTCGAAGCAGCGTCGACTGTCGCAGCGGCGAGCAAGTCCCGGCAGCGAACAAAGCGCCCGCGCACTACCAGGGGGCGAGGTAAAGCACGGCACGCGCGCCTGCCCCCCCGCTGCCTCTGCCAATTCGGCGCCAGCCACCCCGCCCAAAGACGCCGCGCCAACGCCCGCGGGAACGACGGCCAGATTGGATGGACGCGCCGACCCACCAGCCAAGAGGCGCAAGGAAATTTGGCGCGGATGCCCACAGAAAGACGCTTCCACATCGAAAGCTTTCGCGTCGAGGGAGCCCCCGCACGCCGGGCGAAGTCGCACGGCGCAACTCAGGTCGCCAGTCGCCCCACGACAAACACCCACTTGTACACGTGCCGCGAGGCCATGTTTACTGGCCTCGTCGATTTCCTCGATATCCTACAAACGGTTGCCCATCGAGGTTTCGACGTCGTCGCGCAAGGCTTCGGGGACTTTCGCGGGGAGATGCTCAACGCCCACCTTTGCCGGCAGGTCGCCCTCCTGAAAAACAGCGGCCCGCTCGGCGGCAGCCGACGCATATACTCCGCGCGCGGCGATTCCATCGCGCCAAGAGCTTCTGCTTATAGTGCGGCCATGGGCATCTCGAGACACGCGGGAACGTCGCTGGCCCCTTCCACGATGACCCGAGGGCCAACCCCTGGAATATTGCCTCATTTTCGTGGAAGCCAGCCCGGGGCCCATGCGAAGCGAAGCATCGGATGGCCATTGAGCGGCCGCTCCGCGACCTGCCCAACATATGGCGCTATCCCGCTGCGTTCGCACCAGCTAGGACCAAGGCGGACGCCGCCGTCGCAGCACGTGCAAAATGCACCAGTCTGCATGAGTAACTTCTGGGACGGACTGCACACCCGGCCACACTGACAACAATGGCGCCATCGATTCTAAAGTATGTCTCGATGAGAAATTGCACGGCAACGCGCATTGTAAGTAACCGTGCCCCCACAGTCGTAATCCCTAGGTTTTTCTTTCATCTGACCAGGCCCCAGCGCGCGCCAAATCCGACATGAACGCGATGGCGGTTTCCCCAGTCACACTATCCACGCCCCCTTTTGCCAAGAGAACTCCCACCAAAAGCGCGCGGCAAACGCGCGGATATTGGACATCTACCTTTCGGCCCCCAACAAATACAATGATATCTCCTCTCGGGTTCGCCGTCGGCGATGGCGCTTAGGCCATTCGAAGCGACGCTGTCCTCTCGGCGGCTGCGGGTCGGCGATAACCGGCTAGGTCGCCCACCTTGGACAGGCGAACTCCATCCGCCGTTGTCAATGGCTCTCGGTGCTCTGCTAGTTTTGGCCGCTGCCGTTCTCCTGCGAAGTCGCCCTAATGCCAGCCTCTCGGGCCCCCCCCCCTCTTTCTTGACCAACGGCTTCCCCAAAAGTCTGGCGCATTCAGATCAAGAGGCACCCGCGGCCGCCCCCCCGCGAAAGCCTGACGCGGCAAAACCCTCCGTGGAAAGTGAAGGCGCACACGCAGAACGCTCACGCTAACAGGCGGCTGAAATTAAGAAGCAAATCGTGCCTTGTCAAGTCTTCGCGCGCAAGATGCCGCTGCGCGCTGACATCGCAAAGGCATGCTGGCCGGGCACTCGCACTCAAAGTTCGGCGCGCATGACCAATGTCATCATCGAGCGCACCTCCACCTTGGCGTCGCACCTTGGCCGGGCCGCAGATCGCCACCCAGCTCTGCTGATACACAGTGGGGACGGTCTCCGTTTATTGTTCCCGAATCTGCAGACCAGCACCAAACTTCATGCACCCATCGATGATGTGGAAGCTCGTCGTCTTACTGTAGGACATCAAACCACACTCTGTCACATCGATACATACCCCAGGCAAACTCATTGATGCCAGTGTGGAATCCCAAGGTTTCTCCAAAGCACGGCACTCGACCATGTTAAGTCGTGCGTTGCCCACCCCAACCTTTCGAACAAAAGTCGCAGCTTCGATGATTGTTGCTACCGCAGCTACAGTTTTCAACGTTATTAACATCGCTAGGTCATTGCTCCTCAGATTCCACGGATGACCTTTAGAGCTGAACCTGGTCCAATCAGGAAGTCGCGGGCGCCCAGAGCCAGCGCGGACTCATGGGATCCGACGGACTCTGGATGGATCGCTGTCTGAAGGCGGAGGCTGTACATGTTGGATTCGGCCACGTCTGGCTGCTACCAGCGGTCTGTCACCAAAACCACTGGAGCTGCTACCTGACCCGATCATAGGCTCACCAGCTGCAGGCCCCGCGGCGCCATAACCGCTTGAGCCTGCAACTGCCTCTCCGAGAGCGCGTAGTCTTGGTGGCCTAGAGAGTGAGCCCTTTGGCGCCCTGATGATGCTGATGCTCGGCCGTCGCGAGGCGCCTGACCCTTGCACAGTTCCTCGCCAGGGACTACTAGCCGTGTGGGCTCGTAGTCCGGCGGGTGAGCGCGTGGTTTAGCAATTCGGCACTGTCTTATTTCTAGCGCGCACCGTTCCTTGTTAGAGCCTCAACATATCTCGCAGGCCGGGCATGTCCAAATCATCGGGTGTATGTCCCATCGGCATTGCGTCAGGTCTCTGTTGTGTTTTGAGCCCGTTCGTCGAGAGTTATCGGCACGTGCTGGACATCCATGCCCCCTCTGGCGGCATCCGTATCTGAGTCTGCACAGTCCATTGTACTGGGTCGCTGGGTCCTGAGCCGGTCTCAGTAGCATGGATCAACTTTGCGCTTTCGTGCATGTGACCTTTCGCCTCGGCCGCGAGTGCCGCGTCAACGATCGCGCGTCGCGCGCGATTGGTATACACACCTGCTTTCGCCAGATGCTCATTGCAAAGTTGTGCACGTGCATGTCGTTCGTTTCACGTGAGTCCTTTGGGGGGCCCGAGCAGTACAGCATTGTTCCCGACCGTTTGCGCTGGTTTCCTGGTGAGATCGCCGTAGGCATCTCTCAGACCAGTCGCACATTGATCAATGGTTACACATGCGATAATCGGTCGTTGTGCAATATTGTTCCAAGGATGTATCTCGTCTGCCAAAGCTCCGACAGGCGTAGACAGTGCATACCACTGTCGTCTTGAGCAAATGTGACCTGGCCACGATGCGAGATATGCAGCAAGTCTGCTCTGCTTTCTTTCCACGTTCCAAAACTCATCTGGGGGCTTGGATACCACAGAAGGCACGTGGTCCGAAAGTTCCGTTGCAGAACGGCGACAAAAACGCAGCAGGCATCCAAGTAACGGTCGATGACTCTGTGGACACCTAGGTCCCCAAGGTCTACATGTGACCCAGTGCCCAAGTTTCCTCCTGGGGAAAAGCCCTTGATATGGCGGACTCCGAACTCGCGCCCAGGCCTCCATAAAGTTCGAGCATATCGACACAGGTGTTCCGAACGTAGCATAGATGGTACAAGACTGAGTATGCTAGTATGTATATCTGGAATGGTGATCGGGAATACGAGGTACAGTCCTTCCACTTCATCGTCAGAGTACATATCCTGGCGGTGCTTCACCGCCATATTAGGTCCACTGCGCAACCGCCCTTTCCATCTGTAAAGTAATTATTTTATGATGTGGCTTGATGCCTGCTGATGTGTCGGTGTTATGTTTCTCTTTCTGTCTAAGACGCGCTTCACTTGGTGGCTTTTCCGCAGTTCGCGTAGCCGATTACATCAAAGATTGGACTCTAGGAATTCGGGGTCGTTCATGAGCCAATTCGCGATCAAGTCCGCGAGCGCGGCCAAGCTCATGGCCAATTCCCGGAGTCGGGCAGGGGGAAGGACAATCACATATGATGACGCGCTTTGTGTCTCTTTGGGGATTGACCCCGTCCTTCAATCATGGCTGGCTCAGCGCCCCCCTAAATGAAGGGTTCCTTGAGGAAGAAGGGACTCCCAGTTCCCAGTCGCATCCGATCAGATGGTCCAGGGCAAGTGCATGTTGAATTGTAGTGTTCGCGCCGGCGCCCGCCACTACTCGTCTGAACACGTCCTTCCAGGTAGCCACCCACGCTGGGCCACTTCGCATCGCTGGGCGCTCGCATCCTGTCGGAGCATGGCCGTGCTCCTCCTCCCCCTCCTCCTCCTCCTGCTCCTCCTCCTCCTCCTCCTCCTCGACTCCTCCTCCTCGACTCCTCCTCCTCCACCTCCCCCCTCTCCTCCTCCTCCTCCTCCTCCTCCTCCTCCTCCTCCTCCTCCTCCTCCTCCTCCTCCTCCTCCTCCTCCAGCGGTGCTCAAGCAGCAGGGCGTGACGAGAAGGAGGGGGGGGCCTCCGAGAAGCCATGCCCCACCCTCCAGGGCTGGGC